TGCCTTCACGGTTACATTGAAAACAGAAACAGTCAGGAATATGCTCATTTGAAAATGTGCCAACCTGGATTCATTTTTAGAATATTTGTTTTCCAAAGCAGGCATGCTGGTATTGTACAATTCCAGGACATTAGAGAAATGTGGTAACAGGAGGTTGAGTATTCATGGCCAGCTAGTCTTGAATGACACGTTTCATTCACATGAAGAAACCTATCTCAATTTCACAAGTTTTAGTAAATATCTCCATCAAACCACTATTGGTAAAATATGTAAGCTGTTTTGTCCTAATGAATTTCCAACAATTCTAACTAAAGGCATAATTTTTGTAGTATATCCATTGCTCAAAAACGCACTATGCATAGAAAAAGGACAATGAAACCAAACCCTAATGATAGTAGCTATTTGTAGTCTTGAGCTAATTGAGAAAGAAATATAGAATTATTATTAGCATAGCATTCCATGTAGGGCACTTATGTACCAATAGATGGTTTATAATAATGGACATACAACTTCTTTAAATATATACTACATACATTAAAGATAGAAAATATAGTTCAGTTTTAATAGTGATTATGAAATTTTGAGAGGAATTCTATTGTTTGGAATCTAGTGGATTTTAAAAACAAATACCTATAAATTTATATTAAGACAATATTTCAGGTATATTAATTACATATGGTAAGAAACAATATGAAAGAAGGTTCTTGCAAAGTTGGGGGTGCAAATATCTCTAAGGTCTTAAAAACAAAGCTGGGCAGTGGTGGCACATGCCTTTAATTCCAGCACTTGGGAGGCAGAGGCAGGCTGATCTTTGTGAGTTCGAGTCCAGCCTGGTCTACAAGAGCTAGTTCCAGGACAGGCTCCAAAACCACAGAGAAACCCTGTCTCGAAAAACCAAAAAAAAAAAGTCTTAAAAACAGGCAAATATAAATGTTAATAATATAAATATATTTAATTTTTTTACAAGAAAAGAATTAACTTGAATTCACTTTTTATCGTTAAGACAAAAGGCATACTTTATTACAATCAGGTCTATTTCAGGAGGGCTTAAAAGTAATATTTCTTTCTACAATACATCCATTGCCCTATACAACGTTCTAATGGACTTGAATATATTATGTATTGTAATTCAATTACAGGAACCATTGTAATAATATATTATATTTAAATATTACATATTGCATGTGGTATAAAAAACATAAATAATTATATTTCAACTGCATAAACAAATACATAAAAATAAACAGATCAGAAAAAAATTAAGATGCCAGATGGAATTAACAGCTCGAAGTTACAATCAAAAAACCACAGGTAGGTATGGATGCTTTCATGTATACAGCTAGAATCTAGGCAAAAGCAGCTACAATGTTGCTGTGGCAACCAGTCTTAATTAGGCAGGTTTGTCTGTTGTTAACTGGAGGCAAAACAAAGGGTAAATTATATTTTATCCTGTTTTCCCCTTCAAATGGCTCTGCGTCTTTTTACAACACAGAGGCAGGAGGGAGACACAGATGGATCATCAGCTCCGGATGAGATCACGATGTAAAATGCAGTCCTGTGCTTTCAGGTTTGAGAGCTCTCTTCTTATTGGTTCCTAGATAACATAAAAAGGACTGCACTGAGGGATTTTGCCAGCCAGTCTCCTGGCTAAAGTCCAGCGTTTAGCTGGAATTTAGTCAGGAGATTGGCTATAAACAAACTCAGAAAGAAAATCTGTTGCAGAGACCTGCAGGAGACAGAAGCTATAGATACCTAGTAATAGCACAGAATTTCTGAGATTCCCCATGCTTCTGCTAAGAGTCACCTGTTCCTGTTTGCAGTGCAGGAAATGTGCTCGAGTCGCTGAAATCACTGCTTCAGCCTTTATATCTTTAATTTTTTGATTAGCCTTTGATTACTCATTTTCTGTAATCAAATTTTAGTTTGGGAGTCAATACCTGACAGAAACCGGGAATGTACTGATCATATGCACCACTGGAGTACCCACTACGATAATTGCCATATCTGGGGATACTTCCGGCATCTCGGATTCTGAAAATTTCAAGTGGCAGATTCCACAGTCAGTGTGTTTATGGAGTATGACATGGCATTTCTGAATGTGATACCAGTAAGCTGCAATTGGCGGCGAGGAATTATAATCAGCCATCCTCAGGCAGAAATGTTGGATTTCAGGAAGAGAGGGATATATGATCAACTACTAATTCCCTCGCAGTGCTTTCCCCTTGGATAATTGGATTGTGGTCTGAGATAAACTGCGTGTTTTATTTTTTTTTTCTGTCATCCACTTTTACTTTCTTTCTTTTTTTTTTTTTTTTTTTTTTTGCTGGACCACATCTTTTAAGGGAGGGAGAATGAGGCAGCAGCTCTGATGGACATCTCCATGGTTACCACAGGATTTGTTCCTATTGGTAGAATGGAAATCATTCTTGTCTTTGGTTCATATTCCAGGAACAATTTGAAAAAACACACTACTGCTGTGTGTGGCAAGGACTGCTAATAACACTTTCATCATTGCAGATCCTTACTAGGCATGCTGTGGCTATATTCCATTTCTCAGCTGCTCATCCCTATAACCAAAACTAGAATGTATAGCACTAAGTAGCAGTCAATGTTGAATTATTACATATTGGCCCTTAGGCATGTGTTGATGGCACCAGAGATGGTCCCATTGGATGTCACAAATATGAGTGCTGGATTTGTGAGGGAAAGAGGTGTGAGAACAATATAGACATTTTCTGTGTCACCTGGAATCATAGCAGAAAAATTCTTGAATGAAAGACAGCATTTCTGTGAATGGTATTGTGGCCAGACTTAAGGACAGATAGAAAGTTCATGGAAGGTATTAATCATAAAGCAATCTAGGGAAAGACAAGTTTACGCGTTGTGTGAATAATATCTATTGCAAATTTTCACTATGCTGCCCAATTTAACATGAACAGCCTAGCAATAACCACATCTTTATTCCATTGAATGAAACAACCAAGAGATGAAGAACTAAATTTTTGTACACTTAGGACCTATGTAGAAAATAGGTAGATATTCCATAATAGAAGACTAAAGTGATCCCTGGTATGGAGTGAGTATCTCAAAGGCAGAGAAGGCAGTAGTATTTTCATCTCTTCTCTGAATACACAAGTTTAAAGCATAGCTGTAGGTATTCTCAATGTTATGCTCTGTACTAATATAACAAATATGTCTAAGATTTTCAAAAGCCAAACTACCATGAAAAACTAGAGTTAACCTGAGGGATCTAAGCATCACGTGCATATGTAATCAAAGGAAGAGTACAGCAGACACATCCAAATCTCTGAATTCATGCATTGGTGGGATTAATAAGCAGTTCCACTGATGAGATCTAGGTGATGGATGTTGATAGACTCAGGGGAAATTAATTTGAATTTTGTACATTCTATCAAATGGAGCATCATATTTTCATTTGCATATAACACATATATGTCAGAGATATAAACGGTGGCAATACATCAGAACTATACATTCTCTCAGAATAACATACCTACATAAAACTTAGTTTCTAATTTACTTTGAATATTATCACACTTCCTCAGAACAGGTGACAATGAAATTCACAAATCTTTACTATCTTTTGTATCACTGAAGGAGTATTTTTAATTTTTTTAATTTTTTTAAGCTGTTGGAAAAAAAAGTTTGCCTCCTCCCCATCTCCCATTTCCCTCACCCTCCTCTGACACTTCGCCCCCTCCTCCCACTCCTCTCCCCCTCTCCCTCTCCCTCCCACTCAATTCTCCCTCCCTCTGGAGAATGAAGAGCATTCCAGATTCCCTGCCCTGTGGGAAGTCCAAGGTCCTCCCAGTTCTATCCAGGACCAGGAAGGTGATCATCCAAACAGGCTAGGCTCCCACAAAGCCGGTTCATGTATTAGGATTGAAAACCTAGTGCCATTGTTCTTGGCTTCTCATCAGCCTTCATTGTCTTGACATTCAGAAAGTCTGGTTTCATCCCATGCTTATTCACTTCCAGTCCTGCTGGCATTGATGAGCTCCCAATAGATCAGTTCCACTGTCCCAGTGGGTGGGTGCACCCCTCGTGGTCCTGTCTTCCTTGCTCATGTTCTCCCTCCTTCTGCTCCTCATTTGTACCTTAAGTGTTCAGTCCGGTGCTCCAATTTGGGTCTCTGTCTCTCTCTCGATCCATCGCCAGATGAAGATTCTTTATAAGTCAAGTTATTTTTAATTTTTTTAATTTTATTTTTATTTTATGTGGATTGGTGTTTTACATGGGTAACTGTGTTAAAATATCCTATTCTTTCATATTATAGGAGGTACACTTTTCAAAATATCTCACCAACTGTACTGTGATATTTTTAGTTCCTTTCAAATATTTATGTAAGTTTATGTATTGCATATATTTATATGTATTTCCTCAAATATACATATATATATATATAATTCATTTATTAATTGGTACAATTGCTTTATGTAGTTTAGAATATAATGTGTAAGTACAGTATTTATATTACTTCACAATTTTTCCTGCTACGTTCAGTAAAATATGTGCATTGGAAAATATCAAATAATACAATAATTATGTGAAGTTATTTTACATTTTGTGCATACACAAATATATACACAACTAACATAAATTGAATAAGGAATGTAGGGATTATATGTACCCATTTTAGCTTATCATTTTGAATTTTAAAACTATCAATATCATTGTTCAGTAAAAGCTGATCTTTTCTGATTTCGCATGAATTTTTTGTTCATGACTTTCCTGCTATGTGTGGGAATTTGAGAGTGTTTGTAGCTGTGTGGGCATTAAAATTTCTGATGTCACTGTGCTTACACAATTTTGGATTTTTAATTAATTTTGTTTAGTTTCTTTTGTTGGAGTTCTTTTTTCCTAACCTTATTTTTTTTCTCTTTAATATGTTCTCCTGAAGTGAGAGGTGATGTATGCTTTTAGTTGGTTTTATTGCCTTTGGTTAATTAAAAAAAGGCCTTCAACCTATGTCTTTACAGAGTAAAGCCAGGCTGAAAGAAATGACAGAGTGAGTAGACAGATTCCAGGAGAAGACAAGTAGCTGCTGCAAGAGGCAAATGCCTCAACAGCAACCTGCCAAAACTTTTCCAGTAAGTTATTGAACTAATGAACAGATTTATGAATACTAGTCAGTTTAGGATAAAATAGCTAGCTACAACACACATAGAGTAAGCAACTGGCCAAATAGTACTCAAAGAATAAAGTTTCTGAGTTATTATTTAAGTCAGGATGGCCATGGTGGAATGAACTACCTGCATGTCAACTATATCCATCAAAACCTGAGAATGATGAAAAAGGAATGCTAGATAAAAAGGATAGATTTACACATAGATTTTTTGGTAGTAGCATTTTCTTGGGTGGGCTCTGTTTGCTTGCAGCAAGCAGAGGAATGATTTTTTTTTTATTTCAGAGAATGCTTCCTGACTCAGTGGTAGCATAAAATCTTCAAGATTTATTAAGAAAGCATCCTGGTTTATGTTAGTTTCAGGATCAACTATAACTCTTTCTGGTGGTCTGGCTGCAGAGCATTTATCTGGAGTTTGTGAGCAGAGTTCTACAACTTACTTAATGGCAACACATATCTGATGAGAACCAAGCTTGTATCTGGATCTGAGACAAAGGCTCTCAAAGGCAGTATACATGCCTTCAACATGTTTGATTGAATGGAACTGACAGGCAATATGGCAGAGTTAATCCTAGCCTTGTCCACTTAGCATTTAAAAAGCTTCTGGTCAAAAAACAGTTATAGCAATAAAAATAAACAACTGATTGAAAGTAAATAAAGTATTTAAATAGACAGAGTATAGACAGTCATAGATTAAATGAGTAAAGAAAAATAAGTCATATAAAGATGAAAATACACAGGGAGACTGGCTTATGTATATTACTGTGGATTATTTTTGACTGTTAATGAGTTAAGTACAGAAAGATATTTCATAGCATGTAGTGCTAATCTAAACCAAAATGTGTGCATTAAACTTATCTTGACTTAAAAATTTGGATATAGGTAAGGATATTTGCTTTGGAAAAGAGGTTATACTTCCTTTGCAAAGAGAATGGAAACCTGTGGATTTCTCAAGATAAATGTGATTCAAGGGAAAATGATGCACTTAAAGGTCTAAATAAACTCCTCCAAATACTTAGCCCAATAAACAGCAGGAAGAAGTTAGGAAAGAGGTATGAACAAAAAATTTTTTTATACAGTTTGGTTACATTTAAAGCATGATACACAATAGAGATATGCATTGGCATAGATTTTGGTTTATTAATATAAATTTAATAAATTTGTTATATATATTATAATATATATATATATATATATATATATATATATATATATATTTCTGCTCCTGATTAAGGTATTGCATTGTGCAGCTAGTTTAAAATAAAATGTATAATTTTGAAACATAGGTTAATATAGAGTCATCTACAAGAGTCAAGTTTGTTGTCAGGTTACTTACCTTTTCTAGAGTTACAGAGATATATTTCAGATGGATAGTTATTATTTAAGCTTCTCAAAGTTTAACAAAATATTATATTTAAATGTTTTCAAAACTTAGGACTTTTCATGACATTGAGACACATACTTATCTGTTCCTGGTAGCACCAATTACTTCAAGAGGAAGATGGGCATCTAGCAGGCTCCTAATGGAGTTTGCTAGCCATTTGGACAAGAAACTGCTTTTGCCTGGACTGCTTAATGGTATCTTGTCTAATATTATACAATATTAGACATGCTGGACCCACAGAGAAATGTGCCTATAAAGTTACATAATATCCTTGGATGACTGTCCAGGCAGTCAGACGACTTTCTTAATTCTAGAGTTTTGGAAATTGCATACAATGGAATTCCTGTTAACTTAGGTAATATCATCTCCTTTTGGAGAAATTCATGGAGTTGAGGAATAAATAGTTATAATTAATTATAGTTTTCCCTAGTTATGATAAAATATAAGATACATATGAATATAATACCTGTGATTCTTGCTGGGCGATGGTGGCGCACGCCTTTAATCCCAGCACTCGGGAGGCAGAGGCAGGCGGATCTCTGTGAGTTTGAGACCAGCCTGGTCTACAAGAGCTAGTTCCAAGACAGGCTCCAAAGCCACAGAGAAACCCTGTCTCGAAACCCCACCCCACCCCAAAAAAAAGAACTGTGATTCTTGCTAGACCAGTTTTTTATAAGAGATTTCATTATGTCAAAGTTAATCTTTCTCTTTTATTTAGAAAAAAAGGGAAGGTGTTTTGGAAGGTCATGTTATCTGTGAATATTTTTTATTGTAGGAGCAGTGAAGAAGATATCTTAACTAAGGAAGCCATTTAAGGTTTGGCAAGAGTCTTGGCTCTAGAGGGGTTCCCAGGTGTCCAAGAGGATTTCCCTAGCTAGGTCTGTGGGAAGCAGAGGAGAGGGTCCCTGAACTGGCCTTCTCCAATAGCAACACTGATGAATATCTTGCCTATCACCATAGAAACTTCATCTGGATAGGGATGGAGATAGAGACTAAGACCAAAATTGGGGCATTGAACTGAGCTCCCAGATCCCAGATGAAGAGCAGAAGGAGGGATGTTGTATGTGCTGCAGGCTGTGTTCTATCTGGTTCCCAGCCGCCTGGCTAGCTTATGCCCCGAAATAATTACATGGAAACCATATTCATTTAAACACTGCTTGGCCCATTAGTTCTAGCCTCTTATTGGCTAACTCTTACGTATTGATCTAACCCATTTCTGAAGGAGGTGGGCCATCTTTCTATCTGTTGTTAAATTGGTTAGTTAATAAAGAAAACTTCTTGGCCTTTAATAGGACAGAAAATTAGGTAGGCGGAGTAAACAGAACAGAATGCTGGGAGAAAGAAGCTGAGTCAGTCAGTCGCCATGATTTCCCATCCAAAACAGCAGCAGGTTAAGATCTTCCCTGGTAAGCCACCTAGTGGGCTATATAGATTATTAGAAATGGGATAAATCAATATGTAAGAGCTAGCCAATAAGAGGCTGGAAATAATGGGCCAAACAGTGTTTAAAAGAATAGAGTTTCTGCGTAATTATTGTGGGGCATAAACCATGCAGGCAGCTGGGTGCCGGGGACGCGGCCCCACCGCTCCCTCAACACATTTCTGAAATTTTATGTAGCCCCACGAGGTGTGGCTTACCAGGGAGATCTTAACCTGCATGTTTGTCTGGTGGGAGAATCATGGAGACTGCTTGACTAGGCTTCTTTCTCCCAGCATTCTGTTCTGTTTACTCTGCCTACCTAATTTTCTGTACTATCAAAGGACCAAGCCAGTCTCTTTATTTAACCAATGAAATTAATACAAAACAGAAGGCTCTCCCCATCAGAGGGAGAACATGAGCAAGGAAGTCAGGACTGTGAGGGGTGCATCTACCCACGCAGACAGTAGGCCTGATCTAATGAGAGCTCACCAAGACCAGCTGTACTGGCTCTGAACGAGCATGTAATCAAACTGGACTCTCTTAATGTGGCTGACAATAAGGATTAACTAAGAAGCCAATGATAATGACATTGGATTTTGATTCTACTGCATGTACTGTCTTTTGGTGAGCCTAGTCTGTTTGGATGCACACCTTCCCAGACCTGATTGTAGGGGGGCTTGGACTTCCCACAAGGTTGGGCACCCTGACTTCTCTTATGTCTGGAGAGGGAGGGGGAGGATGAGTAGAAGAAGCTGGAGGGAAATGGGAAGATGGGATGAGATGGAAATTATAAATAAATAAATAGACTAAAAAAGTGTTATGAAGTGCAGTCCCCATGAATACATCTACAAAATACTATCTGAGCTAAAGCTCAGGTAAAATTTGAAGGTCTGATGGTAGTGTTGGAAAGATTTTTAAGAGCCAGATAAACAGGGAGTTTTCTGCAAGCCTGTTTCTTTGTGTTGCATGAGTTCTATTTGGAATTAATAATAAAAACTCGGAGCCAGACATAGGGTAAATGCTGAAAGATCAGAGAGACAAAGCAGCAAGTCACAATTAACTCTTACCTTGCTAACACCTCAGAAGAAAAAGCGGCTGATCTCCTATCTCCTCCTACCTTATATTCCTCTCTCCACCCTTTCTGTCTCTACAGGCCTTCAGACCTCTATGGTTAATTAGTAGCTGGCTCTGCTCTCTGATATTAAGGCAACCTTTATTTTTTTAGAACACAAGCAAAATATCACCACACCTTTGAACTTAATAATCTAACTGTCCTACTATCCTTTAATGAGTTGACAATATTGAAACTTTACAACTTATTCTAACTTTTCTCTCCTGTAGACCACTTAGTTTCAATGAGTATTATCTTTGCAAACAGAAAAATACCTTTAGCTTTTTTGGTATAAAATATTGCTGACAATTCTGTCTGCTATTTACATCACTTATTTGACCTTTGCATTTGAAGGTTATTTTCTCTGACTGCATTTTAGATTTATAGATTTTTGTACTTATTATATTCGATTGCACACGTTAGCCTGTTTTGTTTTGTTGTTTAGCATTTCAGCATTCTGTTCCACTGTCTAACCTCCTGATTCTTATGGGACTTACAGTTGTTTACTAGGTTTTTCTGCACATAATGTTACCTTTTCTTTTGTTTCCTTTTACATTTTCTCTTATTTTCAGCTGTTTGATGAAGTTTGTTTGAAGTTATATAAGTCACCATGGTAAAACCTGGCACCAAATAACAATTTACTGAACTTGCTTTGTTCCTCATATCAAATGTAAGCAAACATTTTGAAGAGCTCTTGATGGGGCAATCTTCCAGTTGAGAACCAGAAAGTGATATTACTTGTGGCTACAAGAAAAAATGATACTACTTAGCCATATATTTTTTTAAGATATTATGACCACCAAAAATAAGGGATAAAATGGTTAATCTTTTTCCCATTATTTGACAACACTTGGAAAAGATTTGTAGCCAAAAACCAATATTTACTGAAGAGTAATAGATTAAATAATAAACTCCACATAATTAATTTCTTGAGATATTGGGTAAGCATTTCATAACATGCAATAATCCACAGTTTTAACTTAAAGACTAAGAATGATCAGGAATGCTAAACATAAAGATAAATGTCTTTAAAGACCTGATAAATTAATACAAGAATTATAACAAATAGGTAAAATTTGGTAAAAACAGAAAAACATTTAGTACTATTTCAAATAATGTTACAAAAGATAATGCTGAAGTCTATGAAGATCCTTCTAATTATAAATACATCAGTATCATATTCATAGTCAGGCATGTTATCTGAATGGAAACCCTCTAAACCATCGTTTACCCATTGGAGAAAACGTGGAGTGGGAAGATATGGAAGTACATGCAATGGTATATTAACTTCTGTATTACACTCTTTTGTTTCAATGGGCATATATTGTGATATTTTTGTGAGTTAAAATTAAGCAATGCAAACAAACAAACGAACAGAGAATGGAACAATAAATTCATGTTTGATGCAGTCTAGACACAGAAAAAGGTGGGTTCAGTAAAATTTTTAACAGAAATCCCTGGTTTCCCACTCTGGCACTTTCTTACTGTCTCAGAGTTAAGAACGCTAATTAAGAAGAAATACATATCTCCTCACCTAACTTTGAGGGGTTAAAATGTGATCACACTTTTTTTTTATTAAGCTGAAGTACATTTTCAGAAAAAAAGAATGTAGAAATCTTTTCAGTCTTGCAGAGAACAAAACTATTGTACTTTTGCTATTATTTCACATTCTCCTGTTCATCCTGTGCTTTTGAATGAGACAATTTTTGTTGTTGTGTCCTGTAATGTTTCTATTATCTCATTTTTTTTCTGCCTCTATTCTTTCTTTTCCAGCACATTCTGATTCCACAGAATAATCTATGATGAATGTTTTAACTCAGTATACTTCAAAACCAGAACCCTCCATATGAGATCTGTGCCTCTCTGAATCAGGTATTCCCTTGAAGCATTGACTTCCCAGCTTTATACTCCTTTTACAATATCGTTAACCACTGCAAGTTTTTCATGTTGTATTTGTGTTTCTTTTGTGCTGTTTCTGCTCTTGGAGGTCCCAGATTAGCAAAATGGATGTTGCCTTTGTTGTGCTATGTTTCTTTTCACTCTTTTACTCAATTTTTCTTTCATTATGTACCCTTCTTCTTCCATTTAATACATCTTAAGTTTCTTACCTGTCTGTTGCTGTATATACTATGCTAGCGAAAGCCTGTATGTTTGCATTGACCCAAAGCTTGTCATCATTGAGTATGACATCTTTCTATTTAACAAGAGGATCTAGTTCTGTACTTTGTATAACACACGCTACCTGTCCACACATTCCCCTAGCATGGTTCACACATGACCATCTTCTTTCTATCATTGGTTTACTTACTCTGTTTCTAATTGGATACATTTTCTGTAGAATGTGCCCCTGTCAAACCTAATTACTGTGATGAAATGTGCTTTCTGTGTTGACAATGTGTCAATTGAATTAGTAAGTTTGTACCTCCTTTCATTAATGCAAATCTTTATCTTGTCTCCTCTTTTGTTGCATAGAGATAGATGTCAGAGAAAAAAAGAACCAGAGCAGATAAAATGTTACTCTTTAAATAACATACCTTCTTGTACATCTTTATGAGGAAATATATCTTGTGGAAATGATATGGTCTTAATATTGCCAACATTTTCTTATCCATAAGATCTATATAAAACTGAAATTGCTTCTCTCCTTCCCTTTGAGGATATAAAAATATCACCACAGAAATGGTGGTGGTCACCTATATTACTGCTGATGCAACACAAAGCAGAAAGAGCACAGAGAGATGTTAAAATTATCATCACACCTACGAGGTCTCACAGTGCTTACTTCCTTATGCCTCTGCTTAATTGAAGCATGTGCGTTCAAATTAGAATCCAAAGAACTCTTTCCTCTTCTGTGACAGGTGTGATAAATCTAGAAATCCCTTTCTCTTAATCAACAGAGTCTGTGAACATTCCCTCGTATGGCCAACAATATGTTGTACCTACAATTAAGGTCATGATTATGAGATGTGAAAGTGATTGTGTACTATTTAGATTAGCTATCTCAGTATACCCACAGAGGTCTTTATTGAGACGATAAGGGACCTAAAAGATAAGGTAAGAAACACAAGCATTCACTGAAAAGGCAGGAAGTCACCCGTCTATTTGTATGACATTGGTATGGACTCCTGAACAAAAGTCACAGAAGGAAAGCAGTCTGAACAACATCTTGTTGTGAGATCAGAAAAACCCATTTTGTACACTAACAATCAGGAGTATTATCCACTTGTGTTGCTTTCAAACAGCAAATGCTTGGTGATTTGTCTCTGCAGCAACAGGAAACTGATACATGATTCAAAGAGTTAGATCGATATGATTTACTGATTCAGTACAAGGCCCCAGCTAACTTCCTAGAGAATGAAATAGGTTGAATTACTTCTCGCTTGGGCCTTCTCAAATGAGGTTCATTTTCATTTCAACAACCTAAATGTCTGTTCCCGACTTCCCCTTAGGCTGAACTTACTTTAATATTTTCAGCTATTCATCACCGCTGCCTAGGTTTGCTAAAATGACCTAGTCATACAATACAAAAAAAGCCCTAGATGTTCCTTGCTCTATCTTCAGTAGAGCAGAATCAGTGAACCTTAAGGACCTGCCTTTTATTGGAACAATACATTCTTCCGTCGAGATGAAGACTTATTTTTGCAATCAATCCTCTTTTCAATGATGCAACATAGGATACAAAGCTTGTGGAGACTGAGTTGTTGGAAGGATAAAATCTACATTTTCGAGTATAAGAGCATCCCTGCAAACACACAGATCACCAGAGGGGATGTCTTTCTTCCTCATTATAACAAGAGGATACTCAGGAAATGAAATGTTAGGTACTATAAAACAGAATAAATAGTTATAAGTATAGTTTTCCTTAGTTATGATAAAATATAAGATACATATGAATATTATAACTGTGATTATTGCTAGATAACTGTTTTTATATGCAATATTAGTATGTTAAAATTAAACCTTTCTCTTTTATTTAGAAAGAAAAGGGAAGTTGATTTGGGAGGTGATATATTCTGTGAATACCTTGTATTGCCATTTGTTAATAAGTAAGCTGAATCCACCAATGTCTTAGCAGAGTAAAGAAAGCCTGAAGGAGCTATATAGAAAAATTAGCAAGAGTCACTGAGAAGTCATGAAGCTGCTGCCAGAAACAGATACCATTCCTGGCATCTGCTGAAATTTGCCAATAAGCCACGACCTCATGGTGCTCCACAGATTAGGAGAAGTGGGTTATTTTAGGATATAGGAGTAAGCTAGCATTACTTTTAAGCTATTGGCCAGACATTATTGTAAATAATATAGTTTCAGATTCGTTATTTCAAGTCAGGGCTTTAGGATACAAGCCATCATTATCTGCCGACAGATCTACTCCTTATGATATGCTATCTTCAAATAAGGTATCCTTTTCTTTGGGATATAAATTGGATATACACATGGCATGAAGTATTTTTAAGTCCAAGAATAATGGTAAGTAGTAGGTATTAATAGGGTGTAATTAGAAGAAACACTGCCAATTTTTAGCACTTTGAACAGCTGTGCATGAGTAATATTGGTGTAAAATGCTGATATTTACCATTACATTAGAGAATGAAGAGAACATTTGTTAAGATAAAAAACTGATTTTCATGGTATAATTTGATAACTGAGAAAATAATTTTAGAAATTGCCTCAAATATTCCACTCCTTGAGCTAGATCCTATTGTAGCAAAGTTCATATTGAATTAAATGTGTACTACCATAGAGGAAAAACTATTTTTAGAGCATCATGATAAAATAGTACCGCATCATTTTGGCATTGATTATAATAAAGGATTCTTTATTTGGGGGTAGCCTCTCAGATCAACAGTCCTCTGCACAAGCAGGGAACAGGGAACAGAATCAGACTGACAAGAATGAGCAAGAGCATGTTTCCTAATCTGTTGTTATAGTATGCCAAGACCATGTTCATGTGGTCCAGCATCCAAAGCCATTGTCTTAAGGAGTTCCCAGAGGACCTCTCCCTTTTGTTGAAATAAGAGAGTTTTAAACCCATTGTAAAACTACATACAAATAAGAACAGATATCAAGTATCAAAATTAGAGTTACCAGAGAAAACCTGTCTTGAAAAACAAAACAAAAAGTAAAGTTACACACATCATAAACTATATCAAGATAGAAATTTATCATAAATATTTCAATGAATTCTATCCTAAGGAGTCTAAGTCTGATATTAGTAATGGCTTGTCCAAGTCATGAGAGGAATGTAACGATGCCTACATAGTATACAAACCCATTGAAAAATTGAGAGAAAAATAATATTACATAAAAAGGAAGTACAAAGAAGCAACTTTCAAATGCGGAATAAATGACAGAGACAACCGGCTATGTAGGCTATCACCCAAAGATTTTCTCAGGTATGCTAGCTTTGAAATGATGCCTATGTACTAGAAGAATGCCCATACCAAAACACACACACACACACACACAAACACACACACACACACACACACACACACACACACACACACGCACTCACATTTTCCCTGAAGTCAGATGTCACTGATAAGAGAGTACAGATAAATGACATGAGGCTGGAGTACTCATATTGGTCACAATTCTCTGTCTCTATAAACTACAAACCAGCCACAGAAGTAGTAGAAAAATAGCAATAAGATTAAGAATGACAACTATTATTATACCGAACATGTGCTTTATCTTTTCAATATCTTTTTGAAGAATTCTACAATATTATCTAGAGGATTTTGAGCCCAAGAACGACCCAAGTTACTGGCAGCCAAATATGTGTATACTGTTGTAATATCATAAGTGATTGATTATGAGGATCAAACTTAACAGTGGAATTAATATATAAATACAATTAACATTCATAAAAATTAATTCCAGTTGTAAAATTAATTCTTCCAACAAAAATGCATGTGGTACTGGTACACAAGCAGTAACATAACTACTTCCAAATAAATGAAATTTATAAGTAGAAGCAGATACTTCTTTTTTTTTTTTTTTGGTTTTTCGAGACAGGGTTTCTCTGTAGCTTTGGAGCCTGTCCTGGCACTAGCTCTTCTAGACCAGGCTGGCCTCGAACTCACAGAAATCCACCTGCCTCTGCCTCCCAAGTGCTGGGATTAAAGGCGTGCGCCACCACCGCCCGGCAAGCAGATACTTCTGTTGATATAAATGAGCCATTTAAAAGCTGAACAGGTTTAAGGCAGCCACAATCTTCTAAATTGCAGTAGCGTCTTTGAGTAAGGAATGTGATTATCACTGATTCCTCCATCTCCCCATGCCAGTAGATGTCTTCCAGTTATCATTTCATTCTCGAATCAATTCCACCTGGTAACATAAAGCAAATCACAAATGATAATATTCCATTCAGAACAAGTGTTAATAAGTTGACAATATGGGCACCAATGGATCTATTTATTTTCAATTATTTTGCCAAATTTAGCCAAAGAAGTCTTCCAAATAAATGGCTGATATTTTAACTATAATATGTAAAATCTGGTCATACAGGATACAATAATTCATTGTGAATTATTATAATTGCACCAGGTCTGATTAATTTAACATGCTGAAAGCCTTTGAAGATGAGTACGAGATCTACAAATTTTAATTCTAGGACGTAACCAATGATGTAATCCCACTTATAGACAAAGACCATTTCACAGCTTATTGGCTTTCTATCATCCATATAAGTAAAATTATAAGAGGTCCCATCAAAATTATTCAGATAAGTCAAGTCATTCCAAGGAGGAGAGAGGATACTTACAGTGATATACACTAAAACATCAGTATCTCCCCAAAAGACAGGCTTAAACATAGGTGTACAAAAGACATAAGCACAATAATTTACAGCTGATCCCTGAACAAAAGAGACAATTAACAGAGCACATACGGCCAGAAAAAATATTCAGCTGTAACTGGTCTTTTGGACTGCTGAACAATAATCTGACCATAGAGCACAAAAGATTTTACCTAACCCCAAGTTGGTGATCATGGTGAAGATCAGTATTGGAGAGGTCACTTCCATGAGTATAATTTTACCAGGGCCAATATTGGAACGTCTACTTCAGGAGTCATAATTGTCACTCATCCTTAACAAACAATACCATACCCGGTCCCTTTCACTATTAGAAATGAAGGCTGCAATTCAGTATTTATGGCAATTTTTCTGCTAGTTCAACATTTGGAGTATGAGCAAAATATTTATCTACTCTTACTAGAATATCCGTTCAGGGCAGATTTAAGAAACTTAATATGTATAAATGTAAAGTTGCAATTATTCTTTCAAATATTTCATATTTATTTCTTACCAAAATCTTCCTTTTTTAAAATTTCAATTTGCTGTTTTAAAATGTAATGGACTTGAAAGTATGATTAATTTATCAAAATGGAATTTTTTCTTTTTATTAAAAAATTCCATCTACTTTCCTCCTCCCATTTCCATTCCCTTCCTTCCACCCCCTTCACCCACTTTTTCCAGTCCAAAGAGCAGTCAGAGTTCATGCCTCGTGGGAAGTTCAACGTTGTCCTCCCTCCATTACGGTCTAGCATCCAAATAAACTACGCTCCCACAAACACAGTACATTCAGTAGAATCAAAACCCTGTGCCATTGTCCTTGGCTTCACAGTCAGCTCTCATTTCAGCTACATTCAGAGAGTCTTGTTTGACCACATGCTCCATCAGTCCGAGTCCAGCTGGCCTTGGTGAGCTCCTATTAGATCAGCACCACAGTCTAAGTAAATGGATGCACTGCTCGTGGTCCTGACTCCTGGCTCACGTTCTCCCTCCTTCTGCTCCTCATTTGGACCTTGGGATCTCAGTCCATGTCCTCCAATGTGGTTCTCTGTCTCTAACTCCATCCTTTGCTAGACGAGGTTCTATGGTGATATGCAAGATATTCATCAGTGTGGCTATAGGATAAAGCCAGTTCAGGCACCCTCTACTCGGCTGTCCAAGGAAAAGTATGATTATTATATCAAAATGGATTTTTATCTTTAACATGTCGATGATTAGCATTAGTATGTAAATGTACACTGTCATCCTTAACAAAGGAAAAGGCTACCAAAGATCCCTTAGAGCATTTCCAAATTTTCAAATATCAGATCTTCAGACATTTTGCATGTGATCATAGGTTATAACCTATTCAAAAAGGCCTTTTAAATATGCTCTTTAACTAATTTTTCTTTTGTCTGAAATTCTTTGATAAGAAACTTATTTTCCAATATCCAAAGCATTTTAAATCTTTTAAATTTTTATTTTAATTTACAAATTATAATAAATGGTGGCCATAGTTTCAGCAGTCAATTGCACTTTTCTTTCAGATGGAATATCTTTCATATTTTCCTATAAATATTAATATTTCCTGTTTCCTGAACTGATAGCATAGCTCATTATAACACACCTTTACATTTTTATATGTTTGGCCTATTCAGAAGTTATTTCCTTGCTTCTTCTCCAATTACAGTCTTTCTATTGCCTGTTTTAGTCAAACTAGGAATTCAATGTAAGGCTCATTAGATTTCTGGATAACTTTAATCCACGAACCATCGTTCTCTCCCATGGAGCGAAGATGCTCCCATGCTCCCATGCCTATTTCTCTCAGTTATTCATGTATTTCAACTGGGGTATGAGCCTGCTGATTAGGGTTATCACAAGTTCCACTTCCCTGTTAACATAGAAAAAATAATTTCCCTTAGCAGAGGATTGTTGCTGACTGCATCAATTTGAGCCTTCTCAAATTTAAAAACTCATATTTGCCATTGCAAATATTTAGGCTCCTTTTTATGCATTATGTCCAACTTATCTTTTAATAATACTTTCTCTTCTATCCCAATAACATTGCCCACTCCAAAATCATAATACCTCTAAAATAAAAAAAAAATATTAATTCTAGTAAAAAAGACAGTTATACGAACAGTTCTTGGTAAATGCTTAACAGTAATCTTCAAGAGCCTCTCTGACTCTCTATCATGTTTTCTCATCTATAAAACATCTTTAATATACTCAAAAAACCCTATACTTTAATTTTTGTATTTACCCCTCACACCTTGAATGCCTGTCTCATTTCATGCTAAGTAATTGTTTGTCCAGTGATCACTGTTCTGCTCTCCGAGGTTTAGAAGACACAGCAGATTCCTGTGTTTTTCTTCATCTTAATTATACTTCACTTTATATGGTCCCCTCTGAACAGCTTCTTCACTGAATCTCCTGTGTTCGGGACACACTTTGGGCACCACTCTACCCTTGCCTACCTGAATGTCAACAGAGTCCCTAGACGGGAAGTGAGAATAGATGGGACAAGAGACACTAGAGATGGAGACAAGACAGGATTCTCATCAAGACTTGTTTATTCAAGAGAAGAATTGAGGTAAATAAAGGGTAAGGGAAAGGAGAAATTCTCCTTTTGTACATGGGTAACTAGGCAACTTACTAGACAACCTAACTATGTTCTAATGGTCAGGCATAAAGTCCCTAATTGCAACATGAAGAAAAGTCAGAATGTTCAAACCGTGGGAACAATGGAGCAATAAATCCATGCAGAGTTAGTATGTGAGAGATCAGAACAGCATGAGGAGCCAAACACAACAGGATGTGCAACACTGAATCTGGAAGCAGTAAGTATCCAACAAAATTATTATATTTTATTGTGTAGATATGATTTTATACACCAGTATTCCATACTGAATACACACTCTTGTGATTTTTTAGAACTGATTTAACATTGACCTTTCTAATACAAAGGCCAATCAATACTACTGTAAAGTAGAAAATAATTCTTTTTTCTTAGCCTTCAGCATTTCTTATTGGTTTTCTCCTAATTGTTTTAATTGTAGAGAGTTTTCCATCTTTTTAACATTTCATAGAGGGATGTCATTATGCTAAGCATTTTTCACTCTTTCTTTGCTTTCATTTAATTTTACTGGGCATTTAAGATTTCTATACGTTTACCCTTTAAAACCCCAATTTTATCTTTTTTTTTTTTCTGGAAGTTAGAGTCAATGTTTCCTGTGTGTCTAGGGATAAATATTTTTGACAGTTTTGGAAAATAACTTCTTTTAGAAATGTTGCAGAAGAAGTTTATGATTCTCTTTCAACTATCACCCTAACAATATGGAATAGGATTGATTTTTGCATTTGGCAAATTTTTCCTTTTGTCAATTACATATTTGCATATCTAAGAGAAGCTATGAGTGAAAATTTAGACATGTCTATACATATGAAACAAGTAATAACTCTGAAGAGCTAAATTTTGTCAATTTATGACATTTGAAGTAGCTGGAAAAATCACACATTTTACCTCAATATGTTGTACTGCTGTTAGTTGCGGTTTTGAAATTAACATTTTAGGATGATTATAGAAATTATAGCTATATTCATGGTTTAAGAGACTGATTCTCAGATCCTAATACTGTAAATAATTATTTAAATACCTCATTTTTAAAATAAACTGTAGTGAGCCGGACAGTATCGCCATTACAAGATGGCGCCAACATCCTGTCTTGTTGGAAATAAACAACTCCATATTTGGCTAAGCCTTTGAGAGCTGCATGTCCCCTGCTACCCGCATGCATGGTGGATAAGGGTCCTTGGGCCTATCTCGATGCAGTCTGGAGGCAGCTGATGGTGGCAGCCAATTACTGGGCGACCGCTGTGCCAATTCCCTATATAAGCAGCTGCTTTAGTGCTCTTGGCTCTCTCTCTCTCTCTCTCTCTCTCTCTCTCTCTCTCTCTCTCTCGTTTCCTGCCCCTTGCTCCCTGCCCCTCTTGCTTCCTGCGAGATAAACTGTAAGATAAACTGTAAAACTTAATTTTATTTATTTCTAAGTGTTATTGTATGGGAGACTTCTGAATGTTGCTCTTATTTGATGTATTGTGAGTATATAAAACAGCAGATACTGTAGTGATCCTACGGTTTTACTTAAGGAGGCAGGCTACAATTGTAGAATCTGTACAAATGCAAAAATACAATCAGAGGAACGAAAGTAATAGAGTAGTTACTTATATTTAAAAACATCAATGTCAACTTTTAATAATAACCCTTCTGTTATTTTATGCTTTTATGATTGAAAATTAACAGACTCATAGAGGGATCTGTCCATGAACTGGTAATTTGAAATATGAACATCTGGATATATTTATAATATATACATGTGAAGAAAACTGGTATACTAACATTATCAAGTTTCCCAGGACATGGAGCATGAATGAAGAAATCTGTAAGATTTACTTGCATGATTTTATACCATATATGGCACAGTTCAAGGCTGTTGCATCCTATTATACTAGCACATACAAATACTAATTGATTGGTATTTATGTATATGTACACTTTTATTATTGAATTTCCATTGTGTAAGTTTTTATATTTAATTGCTTCATTACAAAATCTAGAGAATGTTCTACTGTATTCTGAGGAACTTTATGAATGCAAAATATTATCAAAATGGCTTAAATTATTTATAGAAATGGCAAGTTGGAATGATAGATTTTCTCATGTATGCTAGCATTGAAATGATGTCCATGTGCTAGAAGAATGCCCCATAACAAAACACACACACATAAACACACACACACACACACATACACACACACACAAACGCGCACACACACACACACACACACACACACACACACACACACACACATTTTCCCTGTAATCAGATGTCACTGAAAAGAGAGAATAGATAAATGACCTGAGGCTGGAGTACTGATATTGGTGATTACAGGGAAAATCTAGAGAACACATTGTGGTGAATTTTATAAAAAATTAAATGTTCATATAAAAGTACCTCAAAACATTTCAAAACGTTAATTAAGACTATTACTCTGAAATCAATGTCAAAAGATGTACACATATGTAAAACACTAATAGAAGCATGGAGAGAATTGTGAAATTCTAAAAATAATAGGTATATTCTGTTTTTCCAAATGAAAACATCAAATTGTTACTACATTATCATGACATTTTTAGATACAATTTTTTTTTAATTTTTGCATGTTCAGACTGGGTTTTAAGATAACATTCCTATTTAGAAAATATCCTTATTATTACATAATTTTTATGTAAAATACATACATCTTGGTGTAGGAGGGCGTTCTGTATACATGTTGCTTTCATTGGTTAATAAATAAAAAAAAAAACTGCCTAGGCCTTTTGATAGGGCAGAACTTAGGTAGGCAGGGGAAACAGAACTAAATGCATTGAGAAAAAAGCAGAGGAGAGAGCTGCCAGGGAGCCACCAGATTCAGACATGCTGAATCTCTTTCCCAGTAAGCCACTGCCATGTAGCAATATACAGATTGATAGAAATGGATTAAATCAAGATATGGGAGTTAGCTGATTAGTGGCTAGAGCAAATGGGTTAAGAAGTGTTTTAATTAATATAATTTCTGTTTTGTTATTTTGGGGTTAAGTGAGCAGGATGGCTGGGACGAGCAAGCAGCCTTTCCCTGGAACAATTGTCACTCAACGTGATCAATAAAATATATGAACTACAAAAGGTATGAATAAATACAACTGCTTATAAAAATGATTCTTTTTTTGCAAATAGAAATGCATACATATAAACTCACACTCTATACACACTGTGGCAATGATGTGTATCCATTATTATCATCAGAGTTTCAAAACCACAATTTCAGCAATCTCAATCCATTACTACTTGGTGAGCACTAGCACCTCCAATATCATCTAGTCTGGTAATCTTCTGGTCAGTCCACTACACCAAACTTTCAGGAAGCTATTGTGGTCCTTTATCTTTGTGTAAACACACAGCACACACACACACACACACACACACACACACACACACACATGAGCTCACATGCACTTGACCCAATATAATAGCATGGTTTTGTCCTGTCCATAATCCATTGCAATGGTCTTTTCATTTGCTTTAGAGAAAAGTCTCTTCTACACCATCATGCCAAAATCTATGCATGGTAAAATGCTTGTGGGAATTCACATTTAGAAAATTTAGAAGAAAAAGTACATGATGCAGTGAATTATGTCGTGACTGAAGGATAACTCACATTTACTTATTTATTTATTTATTTATTTAATGAAATTGTGTATTCAAGAAGCCAGGGAGAATGCTCACTTGAGTCAACCTTTGACCTGCAGCTTCAATATAAAACCTGGGATAATTGGGTCACTTCTCCCAATTATCTCACTGCATTGCTCATGATTTTCAGGAGACAATTTTAAAATAAGCACAGTCAATGAATATTTACCAGTTATTTCTGACATTCCTTCAAAGTTTTCAAACTATTGATCCCAATATCCAATTACTGAGTCTTAATTTCTTTAGGATGAAATATATGTCCTGATTGGGAAAGGTGGTTGCTTTTGTATTTTCTGTGGGAAATGAACTACCCATAAGGGAAAGGTTCTGCTGAAGCTGTCCAAGAATTGCATGCAAATTCCTTCATTTTTCATGAACAAACAGAATCCAGAATGGATAATGAAAACTAGTTGAAAATATTTAGAATATTTTGTATTGCATGATCTACACATGTATTGCATAATATTACACTGTTTGCCATTACCTAAGGCAACACTAATCAATAATATCTCTCAATTTGGTCCTTTAATTGGCCTATGGAACACTACATGAAAATCTTTGAAAATATTTTGGAACAAAAGGCATGGTAAAAATCAATCTATTAAATCTAAAATATTTTATAGGTATTATTTGGTCCATACCTTAATGAGAAGGTAATCCAGTCTAGTCTCTAAAGCTCAACCTAGGTGTGCGGTCTCATTAACTATTTATAATTCTTCTATCAGTTTCCATTTTACAGATTTCTATGTTGAGAGAGAACACATTTACGTGTTTACTCCTGAAAAGCAGCAGCCATAACTAGTCCTTGGGTGTATGAGGTTAAAATTCCTCAACAATTTTGAATAAGATCAGAAATGGCATCTTTCTTTCTAAAAGATGTCAAAGTAAGCTGATATATTACATTAGTACTCCCGTAGGATAGCTGTTTAATAATCAAAAATCAACATACTGGATTATTAATATTCTTATTAATGGCTGCATCAGCGTGGAAACAGAATCCTGGAATAACTCAACAGGTCCCTGTCTTATTTAAGGTAAGTCCATTGTCTGCTCTCCCGAAGAAAGAAATTTATTCCAAGAACTCCTTGGGCCATATTACTCACAGCCGTGGACTGACTTTGTTCTGAAAACTCAGTTTTTCTCGTCAGGTAGCCTTTACCTATCAGGCAACATTTGGCTGTCTATTTCAAGTCCCTGTAGTATGGCTTTTAAATCCATATACTCTAGCAGCATGTGTAAAAGGAGAACATTGGTCACACTATGCTTAGGTTGCTTTTAATACTTTGCCTTGTTTTAATGGTTTCAGGTCTCGTTGTCTGAGTAGATTTCCCTGATCATCTCATTGCTCTATTCTAGAAATACTGGAAATCCCTGAACATCTTCACATCATCTCACTGCTTCTCTGGAAACTAGCTTGTAGGAAAAATGCATAAAAAAGGTGGGTGTTTGCCTTGCTCTAAGAGATCTCTGCACCATTGATGGATCTAAATCAGCCACTATGTTAGATGTGTAATTCTTTTATGACAGAAGATTTTCAGACACTTCAACTTCTGTGAAAGTGAAATTACTAAGTCTCTCAGGCGTTTTAGCTCCTGTTCTAGCTTTCCACCATCTTTGACTCTCAGAATTCCTAGTCAGAAGTGATTGATTTTAAAGACCCTCACTATGGTATTTGTGGCTTCTTCTACAGCTTACTAGGCTCAGACTGATTGTGTCACAGTACCATAAATACTTCTTAATCTATCAGCTCCTCTGTCTGCAGAGAGTCTTCTCTCACTTCTAACCACATCAGGGGCGTCATCTATGTTGTTTAGGGTAGAAAGCATAACTCTCCCTTTTAAGCACCCACAAATGAAGTAATTTGTGCTGCCAAAAGCAGATATGTTTCACTGTGGAGAAAATTGTAAGTTCTTAAAACCTTTTAAATGTTATGTTCTTTAGGTCTTTGAAGTGTTGAAGACTATCTATGTAACTGAACTATATCTCTGCATATTTATAAAAACTAAATAATGTTATTAAGATTTTGATTATTATTAATAACTATCTATTAATCTTCTTAACTATACGTATTTAAATGACCAGCAAAGACAAAACCTTAATCAAGAGCAGATACATATACTAAAATCAACCTTATATGTTTATAAGTAAACTAATATCAAATCCAATGTAAATGGTTCATTTCTAAATATAATGTCCCACCTAAAATAAAGATCAACATATTTGATTATTTGGAAATTTGCTTGTAGTTTTCTCCAAAATGCTTCCTAAGCTTGTTGGGAAACTTTTTATAGGGTTTCTGGAGGTCTTCTGGGAGTCCTTGCTCCTTCAAATAACGTTGGCCTGGTAACAATCCACAGGTTCTCATCTTCTGTGGAACAAAAGTAGGACATCATTTCAAAAGTAACATATCCACTATGTGGAGATGATGCACACCTTTTATCCCAGCACATAGGAATCAAGAGTCAGAGGTAGGTGTGTCTCCATTAGTTTTAGTCCGGCCTGCTATACAGACCTAGTTCCAGGACAGGCTGCAAAGCAACAGAGAAACCATGTCTTGAAAAACTTAAAAACAAATAGAATATCTTTAGATGCAAATTTTATGCATTGATAAAATATGTTTTCATAAACCATAGGAGCCCTTGAATCAAATGTCCATCTGCCATCCCTGTATGACAATCAGTTATTTTTTTTAATTTAATTATTTTCTTTTGTTATTTTCCACATGACGGCAGCCTCTGCTCTGCGTCCTATTCCACCCCTATATTTGGACATCCTCTTACTCTGTTCCTCCACTGTATTCTCACAGTATGAAGGAGGTTTCTCATTGACACCAGAAAGCTTGGCTAAAGCCTTGTCATAACATCAGGCATCTCTCTCTATATTTATGCAGAAAAATGCAATGCTGCATGAGGAACAGGTTTCAAATTATCAGTCAAAGCCACAGAGACAAATCATTCTCTCATTACCTGGTGTCCCACTAATCTTTCAAGCATCACAACAGTCACAAATAAGCAGAGGAACTAGGTGGGTGTCATGAAGGCACAGTGGTTGTTGGTATATCACACAGGAATTTCTGAAAGTCATTCAAAGTTTGTGATGTTTCTCTTTTAATTTCCAATTTCTGAGGCTTAATTTCTTTTGAATAAGCATATATCCCAAAATATTCAAAAGATGGCTGTCTTTGGACTTTCACTGGGGCAATTAATAACTCCAAAAGTACAGGATTCTGTTGAAGCTGACAATATATTACAAACAAACTTACTCCATTTATATGGACAAGCTAGTCGTCATCATTAAAGCATAATATAAAACTGTGGAAATTGAAATGTAAGATTTTATGTAGCCTGAGCCACAGATTTCTGCCATAATATAAAACTTTTTGTCATACCCTGAAGCAAGATGTTCTAATGCTATTATCTAACTTGATATTTGAAATTAACTGATGAAACACTAACTGCAAATTTTTTACAATTTCAGTGAGCCCAGGGGATGGTATAAAAAGAATCTTTTAAATATAGTACAACATTATGTGCATATTTTGTTGGAAGAAACAGAAGGCAATGCAAGATGTAAAGCTCCCTTTAACTCTCATTAATGGTTTTTAAATCTTATACCAATCACCAGTTTCTGGATTTATTTGTCAGGAGAATCATCATTAACTATATTTTTTTCCTGCAAAACAGAAGTCATAGCTAGGCACTGGCTATACGAGTGTCTAATATCTGAGAATATTCAAATAAAATCAGAAATATTAGTATTATTTCTAAATGGTCTCAAAGCAGACGTAAATACTATAATAGTATTATTGTAAGCTAGCTTTACCTCTCAAGTATCCAGTTTCAGTGTCTCCAATTAATCTGTTTGGTTATTGCAGCATCCTGAAACAATTCATCAGGTCCCTGATCCTTGACATTAGCCTTCTGTCTGCTCTTCAGAAGACAGAAGTTGATTCCAGGCCTTCTTGTCATTAAAGTAACTTGGGCATATACTGCTATTTCAAAATTTAATTGCTGATTTCTTTTTCAATAAAGTCACTCACCAATAAGCATATGAAAAGAAAAGGGAATTTGTTGGGTCAGATTTCTCTGATCTGTGACCCAACATCTTTCTTCATGTTTGTTTTCTACAGCAGATAGTCTCCATTTTCAGGCAAGCTTTGTCCAGTTGTTTCCATTTCCCATAGTGTAAGGCTTCTAAAATCCTGTACTCCAGCAGCATTTGCATCAAAGGAGCATTTGGGCAAAACTGAGCTTGAGTTGCTTTAAATTCTTTGAGTTGTTTGAATGGGCTCAGGGCAACTAACTTATTATTTGTGTTGCACTTATCTTTGCTCAGTTGCTAATAACATTCGTACTTTCTCTCCTCAGCAAATACCTTCCCTTAAATTAGCTTGCTTGAGAGATACATAACAGAACTGGATGTTTACACTACTCCAGGTCTCTGCTTGATCTAAACCAGACCTTGGGTAAGAAGAGGGTTGCTTTTGTGATAAGAGGAGATTTACAGAGTTTCCAATTCTGTGAAGGTAATATTGCTAAATTCCTCAGGCTTTTTTGATCCTGCTTAATTATTCCACCAGTTTCTACTTCTCAGCATTGCTCACCAGAAGCAAAGGACTTGAAAACTCCCTATTCTTGTTCTTAGCAGATTCTACCTATCGCTCTCTCTAGGCACAGCCTGATCATAATCAACCAGTACCATAAATGTTTCCTCGTGTGGTGGATAGGAGTGCCCTGACTCACTTCTAACCGTTGCAGGCAGAACTACGTTTTACCTATTATGTGCAAATACAAAGTCACCCTTATGAGCCCTCATATATGAAAATAATACTTTGAGCTAACTCCAGGTTATAATGGTCTTGGTACTTCACCTCAATTTATCTGTGTCCAAGGGATCATGCTTGGGAAATCAAAGGATAAGTTTCTCTACAAATTCTAAAAAATTCAGTTTTTGAAACTGATCCACCTAAGCTCCTCTAGTTTGTAAATTATCTCCTAGGCAATTGCATAGTCACTTATCTACCGATTTTTTGTCACAATACAAATTTATTTACAATCATGATCTCTTATTTTTCGACCCATGTTCACTTTTACTTTTGTTCCCATGCACTTAATCTTTACATTACACCTGTGGAATTGTCTATCTTTTGGTATTGATCATGCAATATATCCATAGTCCATTTTCACTTCCTGGGAGTCAACATTTATTGTCCTGACCTACCCATTTCCTTACTTGTGGTAGGGATAAGGATTAAGATAAAAATTTACAAGAAATACTATATAGATATTAAGGACACAGAGTGAATACTGTTATATATCTCAAGATTATTATTCAAAGTTCATATATATCTCAGTCAAAAATGATTTAGGAGGCAAGACTTCCTTGCCATGATACAAAGAACAAAGTAATATTCTCTCAAAATTACCAAACATGGAGCAACCACACCCTAAGTCAAAATATCATTATTCTTCTCACAATGTCCTATAACAACACCTTACGTCAAATCATCCTAGCTTATACACTTCAAGAAGCAAGTGTAGATCTGAGGAACTGGTGAGTCCTGTGAAGCCACCATGGATTTGGTATATCTCACAATAATTTCTGAAATTAGTTCAAAGTTTGTCATCTTTCTCTCTTGATTTCTGATTTCTTACAATTAATTTCTTCTGGATACAACATATATCCCAAATATTCAAAAGACAGCTATTTTTTTTTTCACTGGGGAAATTACTAACCCTGAAGGGACAGGATTAAGCTGAAGTTGACAAGATATTTCAAACAAATTTACTTCCTTTATTAGGACAAACAAGTAATCATCCTTTATTGGATGATATAAACTTGTTGAAATTGATCTCTAATAATTTGTGTAGCCTGTGAAACAGAATTCAAGCATAATGTAAATCTTTTTGTCATATCATGAATCAAGATATTCCAATTATATCTTCTAATTGGATTTTTGAATTGACTGATGAAACACTAAATACAAATCTTTGACAACTTTGAGGAACCCAGGGAAAGAAAAAAATAAAAAAAAACAATCTTGTAAATCTAAGAAAATGTTATTGGTATCTTTTGCTGTGGAAGATTGAGAAAGCAATAGAAGCAGTAATTACTCTAATTAACTCTTCTTGAATCTTATGTCAATCTCCAATTTCTAGACTTCTTTGTTAGGGATAACGTCTATAACTATTTTTTTCATGTAAAGAAGAAGTTATAGCTAGGAACTGATTATATAAGAGTGCAATATCTGAAGATATTCAAATGTAATCAGACATATTACCTTTCATTTTAAATGATCTCAAAGCAAACTTAATAACTGAAATAGAATTGGCATATGCTTGCTATTCATCTCTCAAATGTTCAGCTTCTGTATCTCCCATTAATATGTTTGTTAGTACGCATTATAAAACATTTCATTAGGTCCCTCATTAAATTTACATTACTCTTCAGTCTGCTACTTAGGAAACAGAAGTTTATTCCAGGTATTCCTTTTATTTCAATACTGTTTGTTCTAGCTAACTCTTTTATTAAATTTATTTTTAATTAAAAATTTCCACCTCCTACCCTTCTCTCATTTCTCTCCCTCTCCCGCATCTCCTCCCTCTCCAGTCCAAAGAGCAATCCAGGTTCCCTGCCCTGTGGGAAGTCCAAGAACCTCTCCCCTCCATCCAAGTCTAAGAAGGTGAGCATCCAAACAGACTAGGCTCCAACAAAGCCAGTACATACAGTAGGATCAAAACCTAGTGCCATTGTCGTTGACTTCTCAGTCAGCCCTCCTTGTCTGCCACTTTCAGAGAGTCTCATTTGATCACATGTTTAATCTGTCCCAGTCTAGCTGGCCTTGGTGAGCTCCCATTAGATCAGCCCCACCATATCAGTGGGTGTGCGCACCCCTCGAGGTCCTGATTTTCTTGCTCATGTTCTCCCTCCATCTGCTCCTCATTTGGACCTTGGGAGCTCATTCCAGTGCTCCAATGTGGGTCTCTGTCTCTTGTATCATCATTCGCAAGATGAAGGGACTATGATGATTTACAAAATATTCATCATGATGGCTATAGGATAGGGCAATTTCAGGCTCCCTCTCCTCAGATGCCCAAGGATCAAGCTGGGGACATCTGTATGAACACCTGGGAACCCCTCTAGAGTCAAGTCTATTGCCAAACCTAAAATGGCTCCCTTACTTAAGATAGATACTTCCCTCCTCCCATATCCACCCTTCCCCCATCCCAACATTCCCATTCCCCCAAGCTCTCTCCATCCTGCCCTTCTCACTTTTCTCTCCCCATGTCTCCTTACTCCTATGCCTCCCAACCCCAAGTTCCAATTTTTGTATTCCAGGTATTCTTTCCAGTTGAATTAACTTGGGCATATGCTGCTATATCAAAATTTAGTTGCTGATTTCTTTTTCTACGAAGTCCCTCACCATTAAGTATATGAAAAGAGACGGGAATTTGTTGGGTCAGATATCTCTCATCTGTGACCCAACAATTTTTCTGCATGTTTGGTTTTCCACAACAGATAGTCTCCACATGAAGGCGATATATGTCCTGGTTGCTTTTAATTCTTTGAGTTGTTCAAATTGGCTCAGGGCATTTAAGTTTTTTTTTTGTTTTTTTTTCTTTATTTTTCCTGCACATATTGTAGCTCTATTGCTAATAACATACATGCTATCTCTCCTCAGCTGGTACCTTCTCTGAAACTAGCTTGCTGAAGAGATATACAACTAAATCTGAGTGTTTGTAGTACTCCAGGATGTCTCTACACCATTGACTGCTCTAAACCAGCCCTGTTTAGGAAGAGTGCTTTTCTGATAAGAGGAGATTTACAAACTTTCCTAATTCTGTGAAAGTGATATTGCTATATCTCTTAAAATTTTTAGCTCCGGCTTAATTTTTCACCATTCTCTATGTCTCAACATTTCTCACCAGAAGCAAAGGACTTCAGTGTTCCTTATTCTTTTGCTTAGTGCCTTCGTCCTATAGCTCTCTAGGCACAGGATGATCAGAATCACACAGTATTATAAATGTTTCCTCATCTAACAGCTCCTATGGTGGATATGAGTGTCATGTCTCACTTCTGACCATTGCAGGGGGAACTGCCTTTTACTTATCATGGTGCAAATCCCAACTCTACCTTATAAGTACCCACAAATTAGTAGAATACTTTGTGTTGATTCCAGGTTATAATGGTTTTAAATTTTCACCTCATTTTTTGTGTTTTCTAGATAAGATCATTGTAAAATCAAATTCAGAGACGCTCTACAAATTCTAAAAATTTCTGTTTCTGAAACTGTTACAATGAGCTGCTCTAGCTTTTAAAATATTTCTAAGTGTACTTTGGGAGCTCAGTCTAGTGCTCTGATGTGGGTCTCGGTCACTATTTCTATCAACTGCCTATAGAAGTTTCTACGGTGATATTCAAGATATTAATCAGTCTGACTATGGGACAAAGCCAGTTTAGACACCCTCTCCTCCACTGCCAAGGGTCTTAGCTGGACATCCCCATGAACACCTGGGAACCCCTCTAAAGCCAAGCCTCTTGCCAACCCCAAATTGGCTCTCTTAAATAAGATATCTTATTACCTGCTCCCATATCCATATTTTCTTCATCTCAAACATCCCACTTTTCCAAGCTTTCCACAGCCCTCCTCTTCTCTTTTCTCACATCTTCCCCCCACCTCCACCCCCATGCTCCCAAATTTGCCTGATGATGGCTGCTTCCAGTTTCCTGGAGGATCTATATGTTTTTTCTTTGAGTTCACACCATTACTTAACTTATCTAGGATAGTGAACTATAAGCTCAATGTCCTTTTTTTAGTCACTAGAATCCAGCAATTAGTGAGTACATACCATATTAATATTTTTGGGTTTGGGTAATCTTACTCAGGATAGTGTTTTCTATTTCCAACCATTTGCATGCCAATTTTAAGATGCCATTGTTTTTTTTACCACATAGTACTACTCTAATGTGCTGATGTGCCACATTTTTTTTATCCATTCTTCCATTGAGGGCATCTAGGGTGTTTCCAGGATTTGGCTATTACAAATAAGGCTGCTATAAACATAGTAGAACAAATGCTTTTATAGTATGACTGGGCATCTTTGGTATATTCCCACGAGTAGTATTTCTGGAACTGAGGTAGATTGATTCCCAATTTTCTGAAAACCGCTACAATGATTTCCAAAGTGGTTGTACAAGTTTGCATCCCCACAAGCAATAGATGAGTGTTTCTTTTAATTCACATCCTCTCCAGCATATGTTATCAATGGTATTTTTTATTTTAGCAATTCTGACAGGTGGATGATGGTATCTCAAATTGTTTTTATTTGCATTTCCCTGATCACTAAAAAAATTGAACACGACCTTAAGTATTTTTGACCATTTGAAATTCTTCTGTTGAGAATTCTCTGTTCAGTTCAGTACCCCATTTTTTAATTGAGGTATTTAGA